GAGGCCTGGGGGACAGCAGGGTTCTGATACCGGAGACACGGAGGGGGAGGGCGGGTAGGACGTGGATGCAAATGTAGCGCAGAGGCCGGACGCACACTGAGGGCTGGGGGCTGCAGGCGGCAGAGGACTGGCGCTGACAGGAAAAGAGCAAGGGAGACATCTGCTGAGCATTCACTACGGACTGTTATCTTTTTTTTACATTAAATTCATTGGGGTGACGTTAGTTAATACAATTACGTAGATGTCAGGTGTACAGCTCTACAACCCACCAGCTGCGTGCTGCACGGTGTAGCCGCCGCCCCAAGCCAAGTCCCCTTCCATCGCCCCTCAGGCGCCCTTTCCCCCCTCCCCCCCCCCCACCCTGCTTTCCTTCTGCTCATCACCATAATGTTGTCTGTGCCTATGAGGGTTTTTTTCATAATCCCTTCACCTTTCCCACCCATGGACTGTTATGTTACTTCATCTGCACTGTCACCCTGCATTTTAAGGACAGAAGAGTCACACGGCAGGGTCCAAGCACTGACCCAGGCTGTAGGCGAGGCTGGGCTCAGATGGAAATCTGGGCAGAAGCATCAGCGCCGACCCCACACCCCCAGGCCCTACTCCCAGCAACACCAACACTTGTGTTCACAAGAGCTGAGGTTTAACCGAGGGCCTCTCTCTGCCACTGACAGGTGCATTTCTACCTGTCCGACCAGTTTCAAGGGCTAAATTTGCAGCCCAGATTTTAATGAGAAGAACAGTAAGGCACTTCCACTCTCTTTTATCCCCATCTAAGAACACCATGGCCACTGCCTCCACTGTTCCCTGCACCCCCTGCCTCCCCCACCCCAGCTCAGGTGGGTGCCGCCCGGGCCCCTTCACCTTCAGGCACTTCTACTCCACACCAGGCGTTTCCTGATAGGCGGCCCCCCTCCCCCACTCCAGGACTGACTCTGGGGCTGGCGGTCAGAGAGTGGGGAATGAGTCACCCGCAGGACCAGAGGGAAAGGGAGCCGAGCCTCCCAGACTGTGGCCTGTGTCATGTGCTCTCCAACACCTGCTTTGCAGGCCCCATGTCTCCCCACACAGCGTGCAGCTGGGACTAGGAAGCCTTAGGTCATTCTCGCAGTTTGGTCTGGGAGGGTTCCTGGTACAAGCCCGGCCCCGGCCCTCAGAAGAACTGGAACCACAGGCATGCCGCCACAGGGTGGGGTAGGGTGCAGCCAACCAGCCCCTCCTTTTCTGGCACCCACTTCCATACGCCCCCCCTCCCGTCCCCAGAGCAAAGTACACACATGCCCAGCCCGGAGGTACTGAAGCAGCCTCTGCCACTCACACGGTCCACCCTGCCTCCTGTCCAAATTTCACTTCCCATCCACACGCAACTGAGGAGGTTTATCTCATCCGCTCAGACATCCTGGGTGGTCAGCAGGGCAGGGATCACTATTTCATAGATGAGGAAACGAACAAGCTCAGCGACGCACTTGTTCTTGCTGGCGGCCTGGGGGCACACCCTGACTAGAGGGGTCCCTGGTCTGGCCGGGCCTCCCCCTGCCAGAGCGGCTGTGCACAGCTCCACCAGAGCTCATTCAACCAGTCCCTGTGTGGTCTTCGAGCGGCTGAGGATGGGCAATGTCAGTTCTCCCATTCTGGTGGCGGAGAGACCACCAATGCAAAAACAAACGTGGCGCCTAACATCAGAAGGCCATACATACATTGGAGGAAATCGGCAGGCTCGCGGAGAGGGTGGGGCGGCGACACTGTGCGATGGGAGCCATGGGAGGCCCCGCTGCGCTCTGGGACCTTCCCTCACAACCTCCCTCCTCCACAGCATCTCGCCTCGAGGACGCCACCAACTCTGGCAGAGCCTGATGGGGCTCTCCCCTTCACGCGGGCACCCAAGGGCTCCACCCAGCTGGGCTACCACTGTGTCCCAGTCCCAGCCCTCCTGCACCCCAGCCAGAGGCTCTGCCAGGGCCCAGGAGCTCTCCTGCCAGGCACCCTGTGCTGGGACCCCAATTCCTCCGGGGTTGCTTTCTCCCAGCCCAGGGCTGCTCTTGCGCTTCCCAGCCGGGCAACATCTCCATCTCTGCGATGGAAGAACGGCTTCTGAGCGACCTCCCCCTCAACGCAGACCCACCGACTCCTTCCTCACCCTTGGCTTTGGAATTGCGCCACAACAGCAGGCCCCAGAATGACTTCTCCGTCCCCCTTCCCACCAAGTCCACAGCTCAAATGACACCCCTGTGCTTCCTTACAGCTTACAGACCAACTCCAAGAAATCCCCCACCCCCTCCTCCTCCAAGACCAACCAAGTCCTCTGGGCAGTCCCCAGCCAAGACCTTCTGGCCTCTCAACTAGGTAACCCTTGGCCCAACTTTCCTCTCCTATATCCTGGCGCGCCTCCACCTCCCTCCGTCCCAGGCCAGCCAATAATGCCACTGTCCACCCCAGGCACAGAAGCTAGCCACCTGCCCCTCGGCTTTGACAGGCCCTCCGATTTCCTGTCCTGCAAATCCCACTGTCCACACCCACCCGCTTCACCAAGGACCCCTCCCCTGATGGGGGCCCAGGATCGCCCAACGCCTTCACTGCCAGGCCAACTCCTCAAACCCTCTCGCAGCGGAGCGAGACCAACTCTTCAGCACACAAACCACCCCGTTCTCCATGTCCTCACCTCTGCACCTGAGACCCGCTGACTCGTCCAGACTGTGAGTCCTGCCCAGTCCTCTCCGTCCCTCGCTAGACTCCCCGGATGACGCCCCCACCCTGTGCGCATTTAAGTGATCATCACCTCCACGCTTACCCAGCACAGACCAATCAGCCTCCATCCTCTAAGTCCTCCCAGCCAGACACCCACTGACCCTCTCTCAACATTCCTGCCTCCGCTCAAACTCCTTCGATGCTTCTCCAAGACTGCCCACGAAACACACACACACACACACACACACACACACACACACAGAAATGACTGCACAGATAACAGCAGCTGCTATTTGTGTGGCAGGAATTTACAAGCACTATCTTATTTAATCCTCACAACTACCTCACAGTAGAAATTGGCACCATTTGCAGAGAGAGAGAAACAGGAGGCTCGGAGAAGAAAAATGGCTTACTCAGAGCCAGACAGCTGGGTGCACGCAGCTGCTCCTGTTCTGAGAACCTGCAGACCAGAAGCTTTACCCCACCCCATGCCAAACTCTCCAACCACCCACCTCGACCCTCTAGCCCACAAACTGGCCATCTTCCCCTCCCCTTCCCCAGGCCCACTGACTCACTCCCACCTCCGCCCCGCTCCCGGAAGCTTGGGAAGCAGACACATCTAGGGCCTAGCCCCATGAACCAGCTCCTCTAGACTGACCCCTAAAATGACCAATATCACCGAACATCACGCCTACAATGACCAGGAATAACTGCAACGTCAAGGCTCACCCAGGCCAATCCTTCTGCACACACAATCTTAGCCTTCTCTTAAACCCTGTGGCATAGGTATTATCACCCCTCTACAGATGGGAAACTGAGGCTCAGAGGAGTTAGGTCACCAGCCTGAGGTCATGAAGTGGGTAAATGGAAGGCAGGATTTGAACTGGAGCCTCTGTTCTTCCTGGCCCTGCTCTTCCTCCCAAGGGCTTTCTCCCTTCCTGCTCTGAACTCCCTGCGCTAAGTACCATGCTACAGCCTGGGTCCATCAGGACCGTTCCCCTCCTCAGCCCCCCAACACAGAAGTGACCGCCGGTCCCTGCGGCCTGGAGCCCAAGAACTTGGCCAGCTCCCAGCGCCAGGAATCTTAAGTCAACCCCTGCCCCTTTAACAGTAACCAGCCACATGAGCATGTGCGCGGGGGGCTCCCTGTGTCAGCTTTCAGTTACCACTTCTCTCACCCTCACAACAAAGCCACCAATTCCTTTACTGCTCACAGAGCAGCAACTCCTCCTCTTCTCCCAGGGCCAACAGACCACCTTCTACAGAGCCAGGGCCAGTGTGCTCCCTCTCTTTGCGGGCTCCCTACCCCTGCCAGACCGACAGACTTCTCCAGCACAGAAATGGGCTCAACGCTGCCATCCATCACGGGAGCGACTTTCCGCCTTCCCAGCCCCACGCGTAACTCAGTCCTCCAGGCAGCTGCTCTTTCAGTTCCAACACTGGCCTGACCTTCTTTCTCCAGAGGAACCTATAACCCATAGATCTGCTTCCTTTCCGAACACCTCAAGCCACCAAACTCCTGCAATGTTCTTGCCTTCTTACTGACCAGCAACTCCAATTCCCCAATTCTTTCTCAGGGGGAGAAAAAAGACCCTTCTATAACCAGGCCCCCAAAAGTTCTTCTGCTTCTGAACGACTGCCAATATTCTGCTTCTCATTTAGGGGAGTCCGAGACATCCAGTGGCTTTTCCTTTCCATGCCTAGATCTATCGGCTACTGTGACTGTCTTACCCATCCCCAAATTGACCACAGCCTCTGCTCCTTTTCTGGGAGTTTCCCTGGACTCCCTTCTCCCAACCCCAGGACTTACGACTCATCTTCAGCCATAGTCCAGATCTAGTCCTTCGCCTCCTTTCAGCCACCCCTGGTCCGGAGGCTTGTAGACCGGGACTTAAAAGTCTTTCCATCCCCATGGGCCCATCAGAATCTTCCACTGCCCCTTCAGCGCCAGCGTTGACCCATTCTTCCTCCCCGGACAGCTCTTTCTATCCTTACTTGGGGGGAACTATGAACGCAAAGGCTAACGTCCTCCCAGGTCCCCAAGCCGCCAAACTTTCTTTAATTGGTCACCGTTGTAATTCCTACACCGATCACATTCAGCGTTCCTTGAGGCGGGGGAAGGGACAAAAACCAGCTACTTTTCACCTTTCCAACGAAATAGCCACCCCCTCCCCTAACGCCCTCCAGCTCCAAACTGACGACTGTCTCCTTAACTCTTCCTTAGGGGCAACTTATTGGGCACCGCCTCGGTGCTGGGCATTGCACTGACTCCCAAGATCCCCACAAGCCCGCCTCCGCTCTCCAGCTGTAGCTACCGTGTCTCCAAGGGTCTTTGGGCTCCACCGCTCCGGACACGATATCCTCGTCAGAGGGGAACGTGACGCGCTTGGCCGCAGCCTTGAGGCGCCCGTCGGCCGGGGGCGATGCGGGACTGGGAGACTGGGCCTCGGCGGGGGCCTCCTCGGCGTCGCCGTCCGCGCCCTGCCCGGGCGGCGCCTCCTGCGGCGGGATCTCCATCGCCGCCGCCGCCACCTCCTCACGGGGGCCCCGGGGACATGCCCCGGGCCCCGGACTTGTCTCTCCGGGTCCGCCCGCCGTCCCGGGGCATGGGATCCGCCGCTTTCTCAGGAGCCGCCTCTGTCCACTTGCCTGGTCGTCGTTGTCGTCGCCGCCGTGAGCCGCAGCGCGCCTCCCCCGAGCCCCGCGCCCGCCAGCTCGTTCGCAGCCGCACTTTCGTTAAAGGCCGATGAGCCCACCGCGTACTAAGAAAAGCAGAAAATACACTTGAGCTGTCTGCTGGTAGAGCTGCCTCGAGGGTAGCTGAAGGGGGGGAACAAAAGGCAGCAAGAGCCAAGGGAAAAAGAAGCGTGAGCACTGAATCCGCAGAGCCGGAACTGCAGAGCATGAGGGGCGGGGCGAGAGGGACGCCGTCTCCCAGAGCAGCGCGCAAGCGCGAACCTGAGCCGCCCCCCCACCCCGCCTTCCCGCCTCCATCCAGATAGCTGTGGTTCAGGCTCGCACACTTTCGTCACGATCTCAGGCACTGCAGAAAGGAGTGGAGTTGATAGACATGAAAAACATCTTCTTGAGCGGGCTAGGGCAGCTGATAAGGAAAGAGGTAAAGGGATGGAGAACTTTAAAGGCAATAGGAGCTGAGTTGAATATGAGTACAAGTGATGGATGGTGACAGAGGGATCCTCACCAACCTTATGTCCCCGTGCTAGTCTCTAGCCTTCCATTTGCAGACTGGAGTTTCATCAATAATTCTTTGGATAGCGTTGTACAAGACACAATTTAAACTTATAAACTAAAATAAATATGACCCCATGAGGGATATCATAGCCTTGATTTTAAAAGGGGATAGGGGAGAGCTAGGTAATTCCAAAAGCCGGGGTTGAATCTGCCAACCAAAATACCGTGCGATGGAGCAGAGAGATCACTAAGCTAGTAGGAGCAAACCGTTCCGAGCTCAAGCCACGCCCCCTCCCCCCCTCCCGCCCCGCTCAATTCAATCACTTAATATTCGCCTCCGCACTTTCGCCATGCTTGCACAGCCCAGCCACCAACTCCGGGCGGGGAAGAGAAGGCGGGGCTAAAACGAAAAAAGACTACTTGGGGAGGAGCGAGTGACGTCGTTGCCAAGGCAACCCGAGAGCTAGGCCGAGGACTCACCTGAGGTGGCGTTGTGAACCAACGTTTAGAAGTTGAGTCTCCCCTTATCTTCGATATCATCGGCTGCCGCACTTTCGTGACTAAAGACGAGGGAAATCTCGCATATTGAATGCAATCTTCACATAAAATCTTAAATTGGTGGGATTACAAAAGGGGAAGAAATTGTTTTTTAAAGCGAATCTGCCTGGCCAGTGAAGGGGCTAAATGGATCAAGTGATATGGATGGCTACGGCACAGAGCTGGAGAGAAATGGAGCGATGAAGCTTCACTCCTACCCTTAATCCTCAGTCTTCTCAACGGCGCCCGCACAGGGCGTGGGGGTGAGCAAATCTGCGGCGGTACGTGATACGCATCACCCAGGCAGGAGCGCAGGCCCATGTAACCCAGCGCGATGCACGTCCTTTGCTTGGTACATCCCTGTCCACCCAATAAATTAAAAAAAAAAAAAAAATCTAGTCCAAATCATCCAAGCCTGGCATCCAGGTCGCTCCACCCATTCCCTGAGACTCGGGGCAGTCCAATCCCCGCAGCTAAATCCGAGTTCCTCCCAGCCAATTGATGTGTCCTCCCTCTCCTTCTTGGCCCAGCTCCACAGGATTCAGTCCTTGAAGTTTACCCTCCCACCCACTAAATCTGCCTTCACCCCCATAGGGTACAATTAAAAACAAAACAAAAACCCAAACAAAAAACCAGGAGGCAGACTTTCCTGAAATAATCATTGGTTCTTTGGCAGGAGGGGAGTATTGCAGTTTCTTCTGGGTGGCTTAACTTTTTTTTTTAATGTAAGATTTTTTCAGATTTTGACTTTAAAAATTTTTTTTACTTATTTTAGGGAGAGAGGGAAACATCAATGTGTGGTTGCCTCTCGCAGCCCCCTACTGGGGACCTGGCCCACAACCCAGGCATGTGCCCTGACCGGGAGTTGAACCAGCGATCCTATGGTTCACGGGCCAGTGCTCAATCCACTGAGCCACACCAGCTGGGGCTGAACTTAAAAAAAAAAAAAAAAAAATTTTACTGATTGACTTTTTTTTCTTTAATAAGAGAAAAACATCCACTTGTTCCATTTATTTATGCACTCATTGGTTATTTCTTGTATGTGCCCTGACCCGGAACTGGACCCACAACCTTGGCATATCTGCATAATACTTGAACCAACTGAGCTACCTGGCCAGGGCTGCAACTTCTATGATAAACAATTTCCCACTCTGCAATTTACCTTCCTTTATTCCCACTGCCCTCTCCCCCACCCCATCCCACCCCACCCGGTCTTTAGGAACTGGCCCAAGGCCCACATTTCTGTAGAGTTGAGAGTTCTGTGAGGTAGAGCATTCCTTTCAACAGGACCTAGAACTCCTGGGGTTGCAGAATTTCACTGACTATACCCTGGAGATCCGAAAAAGCCAAAGTTGCTTGGAGAAGGTGACAATAATGTCTTCATAGCTTGAAGGTGTATGCAATAATGTCACTACACCGGAGCAGCGCTTCAGCCTGCACACCTATCGGAGTCTGCAGCTGTGACACGTAGAAGTTGGCCACGTCCAGGTCAGTGGCTCCGAACTGGGCAGTCACATGCACACCCTCGTGCAAGGTGAAGCTGACCTGGCGACCCACCATGGCCAGCAAGCTGCGGAGGTAGCGCTCCCGGAGCGTGGCTCGGGCCCGCTGTTCCTGGGATTCCCGAGATTCGTGAACTATGGGGGACTCCAGGGTTTCAGAAACCTCTGCCTTCAGGAGGGCCCGCCGTCCATCAGGGGCAAAGCCTCGGCTCAAGCCATCAGGGCCCCGGGGGAGCCGCAGTACAGGCACAGGACTGGTCAGTGGAGTCTGCATTGTTCAGGCTGTTGGGTGAAGAGCAAGGAGTCATTACTTGGGGAGGTGGGATGACGGGAAGAGGGAGGACTGAGGGCAGAGGCCTGTCTACTGCCTCTCAGCTCATCCTACCCAAGGCCAACCTCCTGACTCCTGCTCCTAAAATCGGCACTACCCCTCCACCAGTCCCGGCTTCCTGGGAACTGGCCCCAACATTCATGAGGCCCAGGAGAGCAGGGACTCTTGTCTGCCTTCATCACAGCTTTATCCCTGGCCATAAATACATGCTGAAAGAACCAACCTCTGCCTCCTCTCCTCTCTTACACATAGTCCATCCAAACCATCAGGAAAGGCCGTCTTCCAAATAAATTCCCTATCCCAGGAGCCTGGCTGGAAGGGCTCCCACTGGCCAAATCTGGAATGATTTGAACATTTGAATATGACAATTACAGGTTATAACCCACTGAATAAAACAGAAATCCACAAGTCCATGCTAATTATATATAAATAAACACAGGAGAAGGGCAGTTCTTTCTTACCCTGGAATGGCAGCTAAAATCATCAAAAGATTCTAAAACTTGTGGAGAAATGTCTGATGAAGTCCAGGATATCTGCATAGACTTGAAGTACCTCCTCACGAGATACTCAGGGTAAAGGGTAACTTTATAGTGGAGAAACCTGGCAGGTACCTTCACTTAGGCATCAAAGCGAATGTGCAGTAATGGGACAAACAGACCTCAGGCCTCCTGATGTGGTAGTGAGACAGATGGCACAGGTGTGTGGATTACTTGACGTTAATCATGAGGGCCAATTGTGCCTAATTAATGTAATCAAATTGAGAAACATTCTACCAAAGAAGAAAAAAAAAGTTAGCCTGGAAGAGAGATTTGAGCTCCTTGCCAGCTGATCTCAAAATAAAGCTTTTTCTTAAAAACAAAACAAAACTTGGATTCTTCAAAAATATCAAGGTCATAAAAGATAATGAAAAGCTGAGGGGAGATGTTTGTTTGTTTGTTTATTTCCAGCCACCATCACCCCCTGCCTGGACCGTTCAAGGCAGCTCCCCATTGGCACCTCTCACACCCTTCCACCTTCACACCCCCACCCGTCCTCACAGGTAGCCAGAGGGGCCGGGGTCAGATCGCATCCCTTCTCTGCTCAGAGTTTTCCGGTGGCTTAAGTCAAAGTCAAAGTTCTCATCGCCTGCCCTCAAGGCCCCCATGACCTGGATCCCCCTCTGGGAACATCACCCCAGTTTGCTCTCCCGACCCCAGCCACGCCGGCCTCTCTGCTGGCGCTTGCGATCCCTTCTCAGGCTCCAGCACTGGCTTCCCGCTACTCTATCTCCTTTCCCCCTTCTGTGACCACCCTGTCTTAAAGCTTCATCTGCTCCTCACCCCTCTGCATCCCCTCGTCTATGCAGCACAGACCCCTCTAAGACATGACACTACGTATTTACTGTTCTGCTTACCGTCCTTCTCCCCTGCCGGATGGCTCCCTCCCCGCAGGCAGCAACTTTCCTTCCCTCCCACCTCCACTCCCCTCCACGTATCCTCAGCTCCTCGAACACTGAGTGGCACAGACACCAGGCTCCGATCCAATGACTGGATTGGAGATTAAGCACCCAGGTCTGCTTAGCTGGGTGACCTCAGGTTTTCTCTCCCACTGTGTGGAAATACAGTATCAACTGCCACCTCTGCTTGTTATGAGGATTCACCTGGCTCCTGCAGGACCGGGCCTGATACATACCAGGTTCTCCATAAAAGCTAGTTACGTACAGTTGTTATTAGTATTGTTGTGTGACTGGGGAAAGGGTGTTGGTTTCCCCACCTGTTAAATGGGAATGATGAACGGATCTACCTCCCACGGTTGTTGTGGGGACTAAGTGTACCATGTTTAGCCCTCTCCTCAAACATAGTAAGCACCACTGCTATAATGTTGATTGCATATAGGGAAACGCTGGCTTTGGGGACAGGAGGAGGCAGCGAGAAGGACCCAGGGTTCAGCAGCAGCACCACTCTCTGTGGCACAGTCCCCTCCTCTATAAAGTAGTTAACTGGGGACCCCCCACAGACCCAGCTGCTGTTAATACCAGCATCGCTGCTATGAAGAAAGTGGTTCACCCCTGGCTGGTGTGGCTCAGTGGGTTGAGTACCGGCCTGCAGACCAAAAGGTTGACCGTTCAATTCCCAGTCAGGGTGAATGCCTGGGTTGTGGGCCAGTTCCCTAGTTGGGGGTGTGAGAGAGGCAACTGATCGCTGTTTCTCTCACACATCATGTTTCTTTCCCTCTTTCTCCCTCCTTTCCCCTCTCTAAAACTAAGTATATAAAATCTTAAAAAAAAAAAAGAAAAGAAAAGAAAAGAAAGAAAAAAAGAAAGTGGTTCAACAGCTCCCACAGGGGCAGAAGGCTGAGCTCAGTCTGGTGAAGGTTTCCCAGGCACCTGCAGATTTGAAACAATTCTATCTGCAAAATGCTCAGCATGACCCCCTGCTGACTGGAGTATCTTCAAGTATAAACCCCTTCAGACCTCAGAAAGTCTCTTCCTTTTTGTAGTGAAATGAATCTTTGAAGGTGTTCTAAACCACTTCTCAAGTACCAGTGAATATTCAAAGACAGCAAAATATGAGGCCTGTGCAAATCTTATCCCTGTAACATGCACTACTCTATACAAACTTCTGCTTTTGTCAGTCCTTAACATCTACCTCTCAATCTTCAGGAATTTCTATTTCACAAGGACAATTATTTTATATACACTGGCAGCAGCATACAAATAAAATATCTAAAGAAAAGAAAAGAAAAAGGAATAAAGCCCTGGCTGAGTAGATTGAGCACCAGCCTGCGAACCAAAAGGTCACTGGTTTGATTCCCAGTCAGGGCACACGCCTGGGTAGTGGGCCAGTTCCCCGCGTGAGGGCACGCGAGAGGCAAACAGTTGATGTTTCTCTCCCTTTCTCCCTCCCTTACCCTTTCTAAAAATGAATAAATAAAATCTTTTAAAAGAAGGGGATGACTTACAATGAAAAAGAAAGAGGGGAAGAGGGAGGGAGGGAAGGAGGAAAGCGGAGAGAGAGAGAGGGAGAAAGAGGGAGAGGGAGAAAGAGGGGGAGGGAGAAAAGGAGCAAGCTCCAGCCTTGGTTGGGTAGCTCAGTTGGTTAGAGCATTGTCCTGATACACCGAGGTTGCAGGTCCGATCCCCAGTCAGAGCACATACAAGAAAAATCAACCAATGACTGCATAAACAAGTGGAGCAACAAATCAATGTTTTTTTCTCTGTCCCCTCAAAATCAATAAATTTTTAAAAATAAAATAAAGTGATTACCTAAAGTGACTGACAAATATTAGGCGTCATTTACGGTCAGGAAGTGACAGAGATTGTCCTTTTTCTGTTAGACTCCTCCTGTGTCTGCAGCTCAACTGTGAGCTCCTTGCAAGACAGGACCCTGGCGAGAAACAGGCCAGGGTTTCTCAGCCTCCGTGCTATTGACATCGGGCGGCACCATTCCTTGTTGTGTTGTGTGGGGAACTGTCCTGGGCACAGGTGTAGGATTTTAGCAGAACCCCTGGCCCCTTCCCACTAGATGCCAGTAGCACCCGAAGTTGTGACAACCAAAACTGTCTCCACTGGTGAACAGCATGGTATGACAATTACATGGCAATAAAACTCCTTAAAAAAAAGGTCTCCATAGATTGCCAAATGTCCCCTGGGGACAAAAAAAAAACAAACAAACCCCTAAAAACAAACAAAAAAACCCTGTCTCTAATTGAGAACCATAGACAAACAAGTAGGATAAAGATTGCTACTGAGCCTGACATAGTCATACAACCTCACTTAGGACCTGAGAGATGCAAATGAAAGCTACAGGCTGTAGGATTCCGCACCTCGACCTCCCAGACCAGGGAAGACTGGAAGGGCAGATAAAGCTCTGTACCGGTGCAGCTGTGGAGGAACTGCCTCAAGTCCCCCGTGGCCCGGCTGTCAGTTAGGACGGCCCCCAAGAGGGCAGCTGGCCGGAATGCAGGAAACTGCACACGCCGGGAGACTTCCAGTTGTCTGCCTTTTTGTACCCTTTGAATTCTGTCCCATGTACTTGTAGAACCTAGACAAATAAATTTTAAAATTCTAATTTAAAAAAGGGATATATGGTAATACACCCAAGCGCCTTAAAAAACATGAGCTTCCCCCTCAGTAATCTGAACTCTCTCCCCTCTCTTGTCCGTCACTCCCCAAACCTTTCTGTCCCTGAGTCAGACCTTTCCTAGGCCCCTGTGGAGCTACTGCCAAGTCCCATTGGAGGTCCACTCTATTCCTTGTTAGCAGAAGTCAGTAGTTTTCTCCATAGAGGCCACCAGTAAATACTTTAGCCTTCGGGGGGCCATAGGGCCTCTGCCACAACAGCTGAGCTCTGCCACAGTAGCGGGAAGCCATGAACGAAACATCAGCAATGAACATGGCTACCTCCGCCCCGCCGCCCGCCGGCCCGATAAAAGCTTACTGATTGGGACACCAAAATTTGAATTTTGTGTAATTTTTTTTTAAAGTTTTCCAACCGCTTAAAAATATAAAATAAAACCCACTCTTAGCTCCTGGGTCATGCAAGAAGAGGGGGCGGGGTCACAGCTTCCACCTGGGAGGGAGGACAAGGATGTGGATTCGGGGAGACCAGCAGGTCTTAGCCCCAGACTCAGTCCCAGGGACCTGGGCAGGTCACTGCAACTCTCCCTGCTCCGGTTCGTCATCTAGGAAATGGAGCACGAAAGAAGATCTCCTAGAGTGTTGGGTGAAGGGAGAACCTCTCGGGGGAGGTTGCTGATGGCACAGAGAAAGGACATCCCATCTCCGAGGGGGCGCTTTCTCTACTACCCACACCCAATCCATCAGTAAAGCTGGTCAGCTCCACCTCCAAAAATGCATCCAGAATCTGGCAATTCCTCATTCCCCTGCCCCGGCCCATCCTCCTTCCGGCCACCAGCACCTCCCACCTGGACTATTGCAGTCTCCTCTCTACTGCCTCCACCTTCACCCGCACAGCTGTGAGAGAGCCTATGCGAACGAGAGTCCGGTCACATCCCCCCCGCCCCCACTCTGGCCTCCCCCAAAGCAAAGGCCAGAGTCCTTACAAAGACTATAACAAGGACCCCTCACCTCTCTGACCTCATCTCTCGCCCCTTCACCCTTTGCCCACTGTTGGTCCTTGAACATGCCAAGCACATTCCTGCTTCAGGGCCTTTGCACATGCTGTTCTTACTGCCTCTGGCCCTCCCCCAGATGGGAGACATATATGTATTTCCAGAGACATTTCCTCTCTCACTTCACTCAGGTCACTGTTCAAGTACCACCTTCACGCGGAGAAAGAGTAGCCCTTTCACTCGCATTATATTTCTTCGTAGCACCATCACCTTCTGACAAAATGTATTTACTTGCTTTCCTTGTGCTGTCTGTCTGCCACGGGACATAGCCTTTGAGAGAACAGACATGTCCGATTACCTCACAACTCCATCCCCAGCCCCGCTCAGGGGCTAGCACAGGGGGACGCCTGTAAATACTCAGTGAAGGAATGTAAAGATTCACCCACCTGCATTATCCGAGTGCCTGCTCTGTGCCCAGCCCATGCTGGGTGGTGCTGGGGACACAGCTGGGACTGGAACAGCCCGGCCCGGCCCTGCCCTCATGGGCTCCCAGTCCAGTGGGTGACACAGACTTCTCTCTAGACAATGCTGACCCAGAGTAGGCAGGGCTGGAATGAAGGAGCCCCAGGGCCTCAGGAGCAGAGGGTGGGTCACCAGTGAGCAGAGACCGAAGTGCAATAAGGAATGGAGCCGTGCGGAGATCTGGGGGAGAGCCTTCCAGTCAGCAGGAACAGCAGAGGCCAAGGAAGGGTGACTCAGAGGCTTAGCAAGGAGGCCAGTGTGGAGAGGTGGGGGCAGAGGCGAGGGCAGGGCCCTGAGGACCCTGGGGAGACCTTGGGCCTCTACCCTGGGCGAGCCATGGGAGGTTCTGAGCAGGGGAGGGACTGGACCTGACTTTGGTTTTCTCACAGGATCCCTCTGCCTGATGCACAGGGAATGGACCGTGGGGGACACAGCAGAAGCAGGGTGCCCAGTGAGGCGGGCGGATGATGGTGGTGCCTGGGATGGGGTGGCAACAGTGGGGGGTTTCTGAAGGGGTCAGATTCGGGTTTGTTTTCAAAGTCGAGAGCCCTCACCATTTGCTGAAGGACTAAGGGAAAAAGTAGAGCCATCGGAGGGCTCCCAGGTTTTTGCCCGATTGGGAAGACCACAGAAAATAGGATTAACTGGCTGTATACCCGTCGTCTAACCTATCTGGCCACTGCCACAGAAAATGGGATTAATGAGGTTTTCTCCATTTCCCCCAGTGTCTGACCACTGCGCTCCAAGCTTAGGCAAGGGTCGTCAGTCCCCGGGGCACCCTCCGAACAAGGTTAACACTTGAATGTTTTAAGAGAAACTCCCAAGTCCCTAGGATTAGTACTTAAAAGGTTTATTGAAATTAAGCAAGTGGGCCGAGGGACTTGGCCACTTAAATGAAATCCCTGGATAAAACAAAATTCAGGGTGGGGCAGTGCAGGACCTTGTTCTTCCCATTGAGGTGGGGGGAGGGGGGACAAACAGATTTGGTGTTGCCAGTGCAAGCCCCTTTCCTGAACAGGAAGCTGGAGCTGGGAGATGTCAAGTCATTTGCTGGGGACAAGTTGTGAGTGTCAGGAAAAGGGAACAAACCCAGGTGGGTCTCACAGCAGAGCGGGGCCACTGCCCTGCCGTGCGCACAAGGGCTGATTTTTTTCCCCCAGCCAGCACAGGGGAGCCCTTGGAGGTTTGGAGCCAAAATGGGACCAGAGAAGAAAGTGGTTTGAGAAAGGTTACACAGGGTGTTCCCAAGGCAGAAGCAGGCATCACCCACTCTCCCTGGTGACAGAACCTAGAGTCCTTTATCGTTTTGATCCCCAAGCCAAGGATTTCCTGCTGCAAGGTTTCAGGAACACTGTCCAAATCCATCCCCCACCACTTGAAAAAACGATTGGTTTGACTCAGGACCCCATCACTTGGGGTCAATGGCAGGGACAGGAGACCCAGATCTCCTTCCTAGGGGCTTCACTTAAAAAAAAAAAAAAAAAAAAGGAATAGACGAGATGTGCAGACAAATGTTCAGCCAACTCTTCATTTGCCAGAGTAGGGTACAGCTGAGTTACCAGGTTAACGGTTAACAACGAGGCCCCCAGACCTAGTTAACCAAGGCGGTGACGCGTCCACCCCCCCTCCCCCAAGGGCTGCCCCATCCGTATGCATATTAGTTCAATGGGGCCTTCTGAGAGAGTCCTTCCCCTCCCCTCCACCCCTGGGCAGGTCAGTTTCCTTTCAATTGCTCCCTGAGCACCCAGCGCTCTCCTTTTCTTATACTAACTATGTCCTCCCGGCCCCCAGGCGTCCACTCCCCACTCCGCCCAGGGCTGGCCATTCTTCCCTACCTCTCAGTTCAGATGAGCCAGGGATTCCACCCCAGGAAAGGGGGGGGAAGGGTCTGCTGATTCCTGCCGTTACGACTGTTAGCGTCCTCGTTATTACTTTCCACGCCCCCCTGCTCTCCACCTCACCCCGAGCGCGGGAAAGTCCCTGCTCCGGTGTTCCAACCAGAGTCCGTGGTGCAGGGGTTCGAGGACCGGAACGTCACCGCAGCCAGCGCTGCGGCCGCGGACCTGCCTCTTCCCGCCACTCCGGCTATGCCCGCGGGTGGGTGTCTCGGGCCAGGGCCGCGGAGAGGGAAGGTTCGACACCCACCAGCAACACACTGGACTCACCGAGGTCCTTGTGCTGGCGTCACCACTTCCGCCGGCGTCCCCGCTGCATAGGCTCGGGCGGGGCCCGCGAGCCGCCAAGCCTGTGTTCCGACGCGGCCGGCGCCGCCCCACGTGGTCGTTTGCGGACTGGAGGACTTGGAAACGAGCATAGCCCGACTCTGCGGTGTGGTCGGCGCTTAGATCCCGTCCACCATCTGCAAGGTCGGGGCGTCCAGGATGCCCATTTTAGGAAGAAGAAATTGAGGCCCAAAGAGGGGTTAAAGGCAGAGCTTAGTCTTTGCCCCTCCCCCCCCCTTGCACGTGCACACTCCTGCGCCTCTCCTGCAGTTCCAACCCCGCCTCCCCTACTTAAAACCTAGAGATGGTGCTCTCGGCAGCTAGGCACCAGGAAAAAGTCTTGGAGAGCATCAGCCGGGATGAATCATAGGCAGCCGTTTTGTCCTGCAGTCCCATTTCATAAAGGAGGAAACGGGTCCGGAAAGACAGACCGGCTGTCCCCAGGTGCTGAGGAACCTCGCTGCTCTAGGCTCAGACAGAATACACTTCTTCCACACGGTTTCACTAAAGGCAGGGACTATATGGGTCTCTGCTTACCTCTAGGCCCCCAAGGCGTAATGGCTGGCACAGTTAGGCCCTCTACCCATGTCTATTGAAAGAATGCGCGTTGCAGGAACCGAAGACATATTTGTTCACTGAACTATGAAGGAATAGGGGTTCTATGTGTGAACAAGACAGACTGGGCTTCTGCCCTCTCAGAACCTGCATCCTAAGAGAGGTGGGAGGGGCAGCATAGGGTATACAGGAGCAAATACACCAACCAGATTCTTTGGATCTTGATGGGTGATGTAAAAGGAATAAAATAAAGGTAGTGGGATTAGGGGTGACGGCATTGGTGAGCTGCTTTAACAGGGTAGTCAGAAGGTGGCAGTGAAGAAACCACCTCAGGTAACAGCTGGGGAAGCTGAAGCCCAGGAAGGAACTGGGGACAGATGGAGGTCACGAAGTGTAAACTGTTAAGGCCTTTGGCAGGGTGGGGCTACTTTAGATACTGCGGTCAAGCCTGTCCTCAGGTCTCAGGAGGACAATGCAGCCGACACCTGAATAACAATATGAGGGCCCCTGAGGCCAGGAGCAGCACTCTGGGAGATTAGCATGTGAAATTCCCTCGGTGCTGGGCCGGGGACTCTGGGGGTGGACAGATTAGGTCCCTGACCTCAGGGGGGCTTGTATGGGGTGGGGGGAAGGGAGGGGTGAGTCTAGAAACCGTTCAGTATTGTGATGTGGTGTTGCCAGGAAGAAAAGAAATCTTGTAAGGGTTGGAGGGTGGGGCAGGGTGTTGATGCCACTTCAAACAGTGATCTGAGAGAGCTGCTTTGAGGGAAGTTCAAGGAGGCCCGAGTGGAGGGAGGTGAGACAGTGGCCTATTTGCCTTTCCTGGCTATTCCAGGTGCAGGAGCAGAGTGGATGTACATGATCACAATCCTCTTCCACTCAAATCCCTCCGAAGGCTCGCCTCTCCAAAAACCAAGACTTTCAAGTGGTCAAAAGACTCTCTTGCAGCTGCCCCTTTTTTCTCACAGAACTCGATCACCCCCCTTTCCCCTGTCCTCCTCCCCATTGCTAGTTATTCTCGAACACTGAGGGCTGGCTGACTCCCTCACCTCCCGCAGCTCTCAGCTCCACCGTACCCTTGCCTGGTGGGGAGAAAATGGGCCCCTCCCCTCACCCCGCCCCTTTACAACCCTTCCCAGCTTTATTTGGCTCCACTCCACAAGGCACTTGTCACCCTGAAAGGCACTCTGCATTTTACGTACTTATCTTGTTGAGAGTCATCTCCCCCAACCTGTAAACTGGGGGAGGCCAGGGATTATTGTCTGTTTGGTTCACTGCAGCACCCCCAGAGCTTAGAACAGGACCTGGTGCACAGTAGGTGCTCAATAAATGTTTTCCAAGGGAATTTTTATTGTTATGCATTTACTGAAAGAGTCCAGATTACTGTTAGGCGCCTAGTTAGAAACGTGGCCCCTACCATTTTCTCCCTTGGGGGTGTTTATAGGGATCCTGTGCCTCAGTTTCACCAGCCCCAAAACAGGATTTGAAATACCTGTTCCTACTCGTGGCTGTGTAAACGCGGTATCATTAAGGTGTGGTCACTAAGCCTAACGCAGTGGGCACAACCCTGACTGAGTTTGGCTTCCAGCAGGGCCCCTGCGGGCCGCCCCATGTTCTCCCATCAGGTCCCGCCCTGGCTTGGGCGGAGTCACGGGCCGGGCCAGCACGTGTAAAAAAGTTCGCGGCCAGTCGCCTCAGCCACTCACCTGAGCGCACACGGCTCGTGCGTCCTCCGCCTGCCTGCCCTCCAGCTTGCCAGATCCCCTCCGGCCGCGACCCATGTCCCGCCGTAAGGCCGGCCGCACGCCTCGCCGAGTAGACCCCGCGCCCGCCGGCAACTCAGACAGCGAGACGGAGATGCGGGACCTGGTCATCGACGTGAACCCTGAGCCAAATCCATGGCCCCTACAGGCCCCGGGGCTGCGGCCCTGTTCCCCAAAGGAAGTGCCCGCGCCGGGGCGGTTCGAGGGCGAACCCCGCTACTCCCCCGACCGGGTGCCCGCCGGCGGACCCCTCCACGCCCTCGGCTCGCGGAACCAGTGTGCGTCGTGGACTCCTCTGAAACCTAATCCTCACGGTAAGAGACCCCTGCACCGGGGCCCCGCTACCCTCCCTTTCACTCTCGGGGTGGGGGGAACCTCCTCCACCCGGCACCGCCCCAGGCCTCCTGCCCCCTGCCCCCTGCCCCCTGCCCCTGCCATGTTTTCCGGGCTGGGTCCTGGCCCCCTTCTGACCTCCGGGTTACGTCGCTCCCTCGGAACCCCCAGCCCTGTTCTAGCCCCACCCGCTTTCACCAACCCGCTTCCTCCCTGCAGACCGCCAGCCCTGGACCGACAAACACTCAGATATGTTGACCTGCGGCCGCTGCCTGCAGACCTTCCCGCTGAAGGCCATCACTGCTTTCATGGACCACAAGAAGCTGGGCTGTCAGCTCTACAGAGGACCCAGCCCTGGCCAGGACTCAGGTGAGTGAAGGTGGGATGCGGCCCCCTCCCAGGTTCAAGAGCCCGGCTTCCTGTGGTAGAAAGGGGCTGAGCTGGACAGGCAGGGCAGTGAGCACTACTTCCCCTTTCTGGCTCCCCCGACGGGTGCAGCCTAGGCGTGGCCAGGGCCTGCCCTGTCCTAGGGCTGGGACTAGTCGTCGTGAGAGGGGCGGGGGTGGGGCTGGGCAGAGAAGGAGGGTGGCCCACAGGGTGTGGCCAGCCCCAGAAGACCGGTCTGGGGATTTGCCACACAAGCCCCCCCAATCTGGTTTCACTTCTCCTTCCCCTTGGCCAGAAATAACTGGCCAGGTGGCTGGACCAGTGTGGCAGTAGGGGGGACCCTGGGGAGGGCAGTGGCCTGGGGGAGTAGGGGCCGGAGGCCAGCTGGAAGGCGGAGTGTTTCCCCCTCCTCCTGGAATCTCCCAGCCCTGCTTGCTGGGAAGCCCCTGGTTTGAGCCAGGTCCTCCTGTCCGGGCACCTGGGTTCCTTCTCTTAGGATAGAATTAAACCCTTAACATGGCACTAGACTCATGGTGAGCTTTTGGTCAGGGCCAGCTGTGGGGCTTACCCAAACCAGTGATTCTGAGCCCCCAGCCTCTGTGCTCCTGGGATTTTTTCAAAAAGGGCTGGGCCACAGGGAGGGTCGTGTTGTGAGAGGAGGAGCTGCGACTGAATTAGCTGCAGAGTGGAAGCAGGGAAGGGCTGGGATGGAATTATTGAAACAAAACACTGAGATTCTTGGAGGATTGTGGGATCAGTTCAGCTCATGTTTACTGAGAGCTTACAGGGACCCAAACTCTCAGCTGTTCCCCATTCGAGGTCACAACAACCCTAAAAGGGAAAAGACGCTGAGGATCCCGACATTTCGAGCAAACTGTGGAAGCTGAGGCTCAGAGAGGGGTCCTTTCTGCCTGAGGCTGCACAGCTAGGCGGGAGAGCCCGGCCGAGGTCAGGACAGGCGGGTCCTCCGCAGCCCTGACGTGGCTCCTGACCCTGGTGTTGCACTAGGAAAGCCAAGGCTGCCGAGCATTTGAAAAATAAAGGCAAGTGGGTCTAGAAGGATCTTATTGATAGTGCCTGTAGGGTCTACGGAAAGTAGCAAATTTGGAGGGCTCGGAACGGATAACTTTGGAAAACCTATGTCCCGCTCCTCAGGTTTCTAGATTGAAACGCCAAATTCACCCCTTCCAAGCTGTATGACCTCAGGGAAGTGTCTCTTAGCCTGTTTTCCTGTCTGGAAAATGGAGGTCTTTTCTCAAAGGAGCGTTGGGAGTGAGCACGGCCTAGCACCGTGTACGCTGATTTTGGTGACCTCTTCAGCAGGGCCTTACTGATCCCCCAATATAAAATAGCACGCCCCTGTCCCTTGCTCGGCTTTAACTTTTCGCTTTCCTTTTTGTCGAAGTTTTTTTTATTTACTGATTTTAGAGAGGGAGAGAGAACACATCGATTTCTTGTTCCACTTATTTATGCACTCATTGGTTTATTCTTGTATGTACCCTGACCGTGAATCGAACCCACAACCTTGGTGTATCGGGATGACTATCTAACCAACTGAGCCAGGGCCTGAAGATTTTCAAACACATAGAAAGAACCCTCACATACTCACCCGCTCCAGATTTCCCTCGCTGGTAGCCCATCCACCCATCTTCCTGAACATCAGCTTCCTAAGGGCAGGGAGTTTCCCTGTGCTCGCGCGCTGGAACGAGCCTTTCCCACACAATGTGTCCAACTGGAAGCTGGGACCTGCTGCTATGCCTTTTACCCGTCGCGCTAAAACCCAGTCCCTCTCTCTACAGAACTTGAGAACCTGAAGGCCTTGATCTGCCTCCGCTGCGGCCGACAGTTCACTAGGGCCTGGAAGCTGCTGCGCCACGCCCAGTGGGACCACGGACTGTCCATTTACCAGACAGAACCTGAGGCCCCAGAGACCCCGCTGCTGGGCCTGGCGGAGGTGGCCGCAGCCATGTCAGCTGTGCTGGGGCCGGAAGTGGAGGCCAAGAGCTCCCCAAGGGCTGGTAGCCTCCCCAAGCGGAGCCCCACCTGCCCCGTGTGCGCAAAGACCCTCAGCTCCTTCAGCAACCTCAAGGTGCACATGCGCTCACACACGGGCGAGCGGCCCTATGCCTGTGACCAGTGTCCCTATGCCTGTGCCCAGAGCAGCAAGCTCAACCGCCACAAGAAGACCCACCAGCAGCTGCAGCCTCAGAGCCCCTGCATGGCCAATGCCAGTCAGGAACAGGCCTCGGCCGCCCCTCCGGAGCCTGCCGCCCACGCTGCTGCCCCAGCCAGCACCCTCCTGTGCAGCCGCGAAGAAGGGGCTGGGGCTGCCGCCACGGCGGGTGTGCAGGAACCTGGGGCTCCGGGTGGTGGAGCCCAGGCTGGCCCCGGCGGGGACAACTGGGGAGTCGCCGTCAAGGAAGAGAAAACCGACTCTGCCCAGGGTCTGGAGACGTCGCCCAAGAAGACGCCAAAGCCGGTGGGCAAGAGCCACGGGCCCGGGGGCAGCTGTGAGTTCTGTGGGAAGCATTTCACCAACAGCAGCAACCTGACGGTGCACCGGCGCTCACACACCGGGGAGCGGCCCTACGCCTGTGAGCTCTGCCCCTACGCGTGTGCCCAGAGCAGCAAGCTCAACCGCCACCGCCGCATGCACGGCCTGGGGCCCAACGGTGCCCGCTTCGAGTGCCCCCACTGCCATGTGCCCTTCGGCCTGCGGGCCACCCTGGACAAACATCTGCGGCAGAAGCACCCCAAGGCTGGTGAGGAGGCCTGAGTGGCAGAAATGCCCTCGTTCCATGCTGTCCCTGGTACCACTTTTCCCATGTCTGTTGATCTTGTCCTTCCCCGGCTGTGAATAAATCCTCCCTCCCTCTAGTTATACACGTGTGGACTTTGCTTTCTCGGGGCATCTGAGGTGGGGCGGGAGGCTTTCTCTCCCTGGGGTGGACGGCTGGACAGACCGGTTTGGAATGATGGGGTGAGGGGAGAGGCCGGCCCCCAGTGCCTGTGGCACAGCAGGACTGGCACAGAAAGCCGTGCTCCCAGTTCCCGGTGTGGGCGAGGGCAGGGAGAGAGGCCTGGACCTGTCACCAGAGGCCTTGGGCAAAGTCCTGGCCCATCCTCCACAGGCGGGTGCTGAGCCCTTTTCCTACTGGATGGATGGAGACCCTGCCCTCACTGAGCCACAGGCATCCAGATGCAGCCAGGCTTCCCACACGGGCAACACTGGTGCCTGTCCCCTAACTCCCAGCCAGTTCCCTCCTGGTTTGTGTGGCTGGCTGGTGGACGATCAGGTTTAGGATCCCTGCACCCAGCATATGAGGACACACTGAGGCCAAGTGAAGGGAATTAAATAATGTTTATTTCATTAGAGAACAAAACCAGCAGCATCACAGCTTGAGCCCTAACCCCACCCCATCCCCTCACCCCCCATGCTTCTGCCTAATGTCGATAGTGGGGGCTTCGCGATCTGGACCTTGAGCGCCTGGAAAGAAAAAGGGAGGGGCGCCATGAGGGCTGGGCAGGACACTGGGAGCTGCGTGTACACACATGCCGACACATGTGGGGACCACTGGGGCTTCAGTGGTCAGGAGGCAGCTGCAGAGAGGTTTCCAAGGGAGGAGGCAGCCCTCCCACCTGGAAGGTTGGACGGGAACGGACAAACTCAGCCCCGCCCACCCCAGGAAAACTCTGGTTTCCCAGGGTGCTGGTCTGGCTTACTTACCTTCGGGAAGAGCTGTAGTCTCGACCTGGAAAGGAAGGAGGAGGTGAGGAACAGGCAAACGCCCAGGACCAGGAGCCGCGCCAGGGCTGGACATCCGGTGTCGCCTTTGGCTGAGGTTACACCGGCGCGTCCGCTGCTGGAACTGCAACCTGTGCTGCCTGCCCACACCAACATGCTGCAATTTCCCTTGCGACTGAACCAAGACTTGCGTGTGTGTATTCGTCTTAAGAGTTTTAATAGGTGGAAGACTAACATGGGACTGTGCCATGGTTTTCTGTGTTGAGTTTTGACACTGCTCTTTAATGCCCCAGAGCCTCCAGCCCAATGGCCACGGGACACTCACTGTAACGGGGGGAGGGTGAGCGGCTCTGCCGGCTGTACTGGCGTTCCCATTCTTCTCTTTCCTTCTCTCGGCGTTCCCGCTCCCTGCAGGGGGAAGAGGAGGCAACCCACGGAAGGGCAAGATCACAACACTGAGCTCCAGAGCTGCTGGGTCGCTTCTGACATCTTAGTCCCAGTGGAAAAGGGAACCGTTGCCATTTGGACATGAGGACAGTGTTCAGAGGGGATGCCGGCTGGGCAGAGTGGGGACCCCAATCCCAGTTGGCCTTGCTGTGAAAGGCTCCCTGATAACACAGAAAGGAGAGCTGCATCGGTCAGTTATTTCCTGCCCCACTCAGGGTGCGGTCAACCTAAGTGCTAAGGACTTAATTGGTTTTCGACAGAATGCTGGGGTTTGCAATCCTAAGGGCGACATTTACTGGGGGTCCTCCCCTGGCTGAGGTGGGACATTGAGTAGCTGAGAGAGATGGCACTCAGACAGGAGAAGGCCCACTGGTGGCCAAGGCAGGATCAGAACCCCAGTCCGGCTGGCAGCACGGAGTCCCTGGTCATCTGCCCCCGCCCCCTCCAGATGGAAGCACACGGCATCGTTGGAAACCCACACACAACGGGCATGTGGTAAGTAATGACGGTGATGATGACAATGACTAACAGCAGTGGTGTTGGGCACCGGGACTTCCTCCATGCCAGACGCCGCCCTGGGAGCCTTTCAAGAGGGCCCCGCCGAGGCAGGGGCACGTCTCAGAGAGGAGTCCCAGCTCAGAGGGCTTCGGTTGCTCGTCCAAGGACCCACAGCAAGCAAGGGGTGGAATCAGAAATGGGTAACAGGCAACATGGTCTCTCTCGCCCCTGACGGACTCCTGCCTTGCCAACAGGGAGCACTGTGGCCCCCCGTGTGGCCCTGGAGGGGCTGAGGCCTTATGGGCACTGACCTCGGAACTAGCCTGTGAGGTCGGCCTGAGGGCTAGGGCCCATCCCAGGGCCACACAGAGATACAGAGCTGGCACTCAACTCTGCGGTGGCACCTCAGTTGTCCTGGGGGCTGAGCACACACAGCAGCAGTCCGGCAGCCAGATCTGGCGTCTCAGTGGGGACACCAATGACAAGAAAGCAAACGAGACAGACTGCACACCAGGTAAGGGGGTTAGTGCTACAAAGCAAACAGAGCAGGGTCGGAGGGCAGAGCGTTCTGGGGTGCTACGCTGACAGGGTGGCCAGGGAGGAGACCCCTCCCGGCAGTGCAGTGAAGGAGGGAAGCGGGTGGGGATCTGGGGAAAGAGCCTGCTGGGCCGAGAGAACAGCAAAGGGATGTGGGTTGGTGGCCAGCAGAGAAGGGTCAGCTGGGTCAGAGGCTGGAGTAGGCTGGAGTTGGAGGGAGGAAACAGGGCCAGGCAGGGACCCAGCAGGGCTGTGGCTCAGAGCTGGGTGGTGGGAATACAAGGGGATTAAGGGCTTCCTGGAGGCAGGCGGCTGGGGCCCTGATACAGGGAGCAAGGTGGTCTTACTTCATACGGATCTTGCGGGCCATGGCGCGAAGCTCGTCCTCCCGCTCCTGAGGCAGAGGAGGCAGAGATGGCGGTGAGGTGGCAGTGCAGGCAGGACCAGCTGGCACCACACTCAAACCCCACCCCTTGCCCCACCCTTACCTGACGTTCATGCTCCTGCTGTATCATCTTCTCCTGAGCAGCCTTCTTATCCGCCTTGACTGTGGAGAGGAAGGGACACAGTGGCTGCAGGGTGCCCTCAAGAGGCCTCAAGGCTCAGAGAGGGTCAACCAGCCCTCGGCACGGCAGCAGCAGAACAGCACGCACACTTGCTCCTCCCAGAGGGGCCTCCCCGAAGCCAAGCTGGAAGGAGCGCGGCGAGGGAGATTTGGGGGAGAGAGGAAGGGGTCATACACTGCCTGTTCAGTGCCTTCTGCATCCTCAGCTTCAGCTTTTCCTGCGGCGTCAGCTTGGGCTGGGGAAGGGGGAGAACAGGCAGGAGAGGGGGTGGGTGTCCTGGAGTTCCCACAACCCACCTCATCCAAGATCCTGGGACTTTTGGGGCATGTGGGGAGGGGCAGGCTGGAAACACCTGCCAAGAAGGTCTGGAGGCCCAGGGACAGGCAGAGCCCCAGCGAATAGTGAGGAGGAGAAGGGGACATGAATCTCATGGGGGCAGAGCCCTTCCAGCCCCCCTCAATCCCCGGGGCTGGATCTCGGCACCCCCGAGCCCCCCGTGCAGGCCCACCGGGCCCAGCACTTGGGCACTGCTGCTGGCGGGAGTTAGACGAGCGAGTTCCAAATTCTTACTGACTTTGGCAGCTCCTGTCTCTTTACCAGCGGCAGGTTCGGTCCTGGGAGGAGGAAAGAACACCTGCCACCTCTGACAGCGCACAGCCTCAACACTACCCTGAGACCGAGAGTCTAGGCCAAGGGTCTCAGACGCCCCTAGGAAGATACTCTGTCCCTCTCGGACACTTTAGGACAGGGCCATGACCCACTCAGACCCATCATCCAAGGCGAGGCCCTGCCTCCTCAGACCCGCACTCCCAGGTCAGGCTGTGTTCCTCTCAGACCTCCCCGGGCAGGATCAAGCCCCCATCAAAAAGAAAACAGCAAAGCCCCGCCCCCCTCCCAACTCAGGCTGACAATCCTCTTCCCCCAGCCCTGCACCTGCTCACTTTTTCAGCTTCTCGCCCACAGCAGGGGACGACGCTGGCCTGGTCAGCTTCTCTCTCGGGGGTGATGGCGAGTGACTCTGGCTGTGGCTGCGGCTGCGGCTGCGACTACGGCTTCGGCTCTGGCTCTGGCTGGGGCTGCGGCTCCGAGTCAGGCTGCGACTGCGGGATGGGCTGAGGGACCAGCTGCTGCGGCTGCGGCTGCTGCTGTGGTGCCTGGGGCCCCGGCCGCCCCGCCTGTACCAGTCCCCTGAGCGGGAGCGGCTCCTGGGGGCATGGCAGGAGGGGGCGGCTGTGAGGCTCCAGGGACTCCATCTGCATACACACTCCCCACCCAGCTCTGATTCCACAGCCCTGCAAGGCCCAGGGGCTAGTCTGGGTACGGCTCCACCTTCTCTCCAGCTCCTTTCCCTCAGAAATCCCTGCTGCTCCCTGGCCTTGCCTAATCTAAACAGAGACCACCCTCTAAATACAGCCACCCTAAAACTCACTAGACAGCTGTTCACCTCCCTCCCTGGGAGGTGACCTCTGGGAGGGTGGGGCCTGCCTGGTCAGCTCCCCCTTTATACGCTGTGCCCAGCTCTTGGCACTCAAGCGCTACATCTCACCTTGCCCAGACCCAGAGTGCCACACTGGTGGGGACCCCGCCCCACTCCTCACCAGGCTACAGCTCACACCCACCAGACTCAGTCTGAGGACAAGCAGCCCTGTCCTCTCTCTGCCTGGGACCCTGGCACTCCTCAGGCAGGGCTCAATGGCAGGCTGGCATTTGACCTGTGACCAGCCCCCAACCCACCCCACCCTTACTCCTACTGTTGCCTGGGTCAGCCTACAGGGAGTGACCCGGAAGCCAAATCTAGGTCCCACAGGGATTCTGTTGGGGCTGTCCAGGGTTTTCACAAAATTCAAATTTGTTGGGCAATATTGAAAAAAACAAGAGCTGCCATTAAAAAAACCCAGAGTCTCAACTTGTCTTGAGATACCAGAAGACTGGGCAACACCAGAGCTGTCACTGAGCAGCCAATGACCCCAGCAGATGGGACAT